TTTGATACATCACTGCACCAGTATTCCTTCCAGCTTAGGATTCAAACTTCATAGAGAGCACTTATAGGAGATAAACTCAATGTTCCAGTGAAATTAAGCTGTCTACTAAATTCTGAGTAAATTGCCTTTTCATCCTGGAATCAGTCCGAGGTTTCAATGCTTTAAAGCACCCGAAGATGTTAAACTACATACGGAAATGGATTCACAGACTTGTGAAAAGCTACACTCTCTTCGTCCTCCCTCTCTGTTTGTCTGTTTGAGTCTAACTAATGGAGAGGCAGAAAAATGAGAGAAATGCAAGAGACAAGACAGCTGTATCGGATCCTCAATTAGGAGCTACCACACACACAGACCAAGCTGTGTGGATAGTGATGCATGCGTGCTAACACACAGCTAAACGCAGATGGCACACACCATCCGCAAATATGCAGGATTCTCACGTATATTTGATGTACACAAAGACATCTTGAGGAGAAGTAGAAATGATGGCTGTGTGTGGATGGGAGAGGTGTTTTAGAGGACATCAAACGGTGAGAATCCATTGGCTGCTGACGTTGTTTCAGCAGGGAATGAAAACATGGATCTAAAGCTGTGAGGGCCCTCTGAGAACTGTCATTAACGCTTCAGTCAAACACACACTCAGAGCCACAGTATGCACACATTTTGTCAAGCCTGACACAAATGAGCACACTATGTTTTGTTCTAGCATACCTGCTAAAGTCTAAGCAGTTGAGAAAATGCTCCAATTTTGGCAATCATATCTAACTGGAAAGCATTTCTTTCTGTATGGATTCTAAGAATATAGCCAACTAAAAAGTGTCTACAATTGGATGACTTCCTCAGAGAACTGTCATGCTGAAGGCCATCCGTCAGCCATGGCCTGTAGCAGCACAGCAATCTCCGATCTCATGACTGACAAGGCATAATTTTCTGGCTCTATAATGTTTGATGAAGCCAAAGAAGACTTTGATACTAAAGAATTTCAAGATAGCAAAATAAATATCTTAGAGTGCAGATAAGAATACACACTGGACTAGCCAAAATCAGTTAAAAAGAAAAATCTTTGGACATAGATTTTCTCTATATTTCACTCCAGGAGCTATTTCAATGATTTTTCTTGGGGGAACATTTAAAGTAATGGAATGAGGACACGCTGACCCAAACCATCTGTCTCCAGTTCTCAGTTATTGGTATGTTTTATGTATTCTAGCAGGTTTTATGAGCAGCTCACCTTACTGACTTTAGGTGAAATGCAGGTTGATGTTATTTCAAGTCACTCCTGGTGACTGCCAGAACCCAGGAAAAAGTTCCAGTTGGGTTTAGAACAGGACATTCTGCACTCCTCTCAGAACTTATTTCATCTGCTCTTCAGCCATATTACTTCATCACTTGATCTATTATCAATACTTTATTCAATTTCCCTTCTCAACCACAGACCTTCATTGTTGTGTGGATCATAAAGGGTATTTATCACTGAATCAAGTCCAGAATGACACACCATTTTGGATGGTTTTGTGTTGTTGTAATTTTCCTAAGGCTGTGGGTTGATCCCCTTTTCCAAAGTGAAATGTCTGAAGGTTTGTACAAATTAATTTGATTATAACAAAAAGACTTTGGGATTTGTAAAATCAGACCACTCCAGATGTGTTTTTCCTTTTTGTCTTACTTTTTTTTTTTCTCGTTTGCAGATATATATATATATTTTTTATCAGAAAAAGCAAAGTATCAAAATAGGAATATTACATGGAATAATTGACTCTAGGAACATACAATACCAGAAAAAAAGGATTGATTTTTCATCTTTCTTCAATGGAGTCTATTTCTTCAAAATAGACTTCAAGTCTATTTTATTTTCCCCAGAAAACATAGACTGATTATGAAGAGGAAAAGAAATTGAATTATATTTAAATATTTTTTTTCCACTATCAAAAATCTGAAATCGTATTGACCTTCAACACCCTTAACACGGATACCCCTACATTAAGTCCAGTCAAAAATTTGTAGCCCAAAACTATCAGGACACAAGAGTTTATTTTGCCACAGAATATTCATACTCAATGAAAACCTCAGAGGTCGATGTCAGCACCTCTGTATCACTCAAGATCAATTTCGAGCAACACATTGGTCGAGCCGGGCACAGGGCAGGCAGAGAGCTGAAAGTAGAGGAGCAGACAGAAAGAAGCTCATGGTGATCTCTGGCACTTTTCGGTAAGACTACATGAGGGGAGTGTGGTGCAATGGGATGTAACTGCCTTACTAGGTTAATCTATAGAGTAAATGCAACAAGTGAACAGGAGTGACATGTTAAACTACTTAAGCCATCAGAGCTTAACTGAATGACTATAATGTTAGGTTCAACAGATATATGAGAGGCATCTCTGCTTTTACAACATAATAACACCCATCGAAATATTGTCCAGTCACAGTACAGCAGTCAGACACACCATGTGCCCAGATCTTGTGTAGAGGACAGGTAGCGAGACCCCCCAGATAGGAGCGATAGAGGAAAAAGTCATCATATTCTGCTGGAGCTAGAAAAAATGTCTCAGTTCTGAAGGAGTATGTATTTGTCTTTATAACTACAAGCTAGTCAGAGAGGTCCCAATCACAGAATATTTAACTCAAGTGGAAAAAACGGTTAATCTGACAAACCTTTTGTCATGCACCCTCATGTATGAAATATTGGCAAAAAGAAAGCAAATATTGAAAGATATGGTTCAAATTATATTTTGCCACAAATTATGTTGGGGGTATAGGAAACATTCAAGTAGTCAAAATGGCCTTTTTTTTTCTTTTTCACTATGTAAAAAATGTGCATACCAAGGTTTAATGGATGCTCTATGTAAATAGTAAATAGCCTGCACTTGTATAGCTTTTCCTTCAAGTCAGGAGACTAGACCAAAGCACTTTACACTGCAACCCATTCACACATGCACAAGTTACAGTACAGGTCACAAGTTACCTTGTAGCCACAGCTGCCCTGGGGCTGACTGACAGAGATTTGAACCAACAACCCTTCGGCTGCAAGGCTAACTCCTGTGTCCAATGCCACTGCTGCCTCATTTAGAAGGGACATTAAATTTTGACAGAGTTAATTGAAAGATTGAGCTTCATACCCAGACTGAGGTTGAGGTACTATATCTAAAAACAGGAAGGATGAAACATTTCTGCATCTAGATTTGTTTTAAGCTGGTTAAGACAAGACCAAAATACAGAAGTGGTAGTAGAATTGAAAGATGGATCAAGAAAACATTCTCATATTTATATTTGTGAAAAAACATGCAGAATTTTCTCTGCAATTTATAATTATTAATTAATTTATGTTGGTTTTACACAAAAAAAGGTTTTCTAAAATACCAGAGATTGTCGTGATGCATGACAAAAAGTGAAAAGGTTTAAAGTATGGATCTGATGCAATATTGACGTCGGAAATCAGGTGGCAATATTGGTCAAAACAAAAAACAAAAATTAGTAATTGAATATATAAACTACAAAAAAAGCATGCTAATGTAAACACTGCTTCAATTTACTTCTGTTAGTTAATGTTAATGTAAACAATTGGTTGATAATACATTATACAGGTATTCTAGTCTATACCTATTTTGTTGACTGTTGTTCTTTGAGTGTTATAACTAGATAAAGCTTTTTCTAAAATGCCTCATTACAAATTATTTTAACAAAAATAGTGGTCTTGGTATTGCCATGGTGTTCCTGATGGTACTCGGGTCTTGTGTGCAGTCATTTGTGTTACTGATCCCCATACTGCGGTCTATGTTATGAAGCACTGATAATCTTTTTCTTCTCTTTCAGTTACACAAAATTAACTGGAACTATAAACTCTTCAAAATCAGTGGATCTGTAAACAGACCATAGTATTCCCAAGTGCCTAAGACTGAGCGTTGTTAATTTAAAAAATTTGACTTCTAAATAGCTGTGATTTTTTGGTCTGCCAAATTTGAGATTTTAACTGCTCATCTCCCATGTTGTATCTGATTAAAGCATTTTGAAGCTTTTATTCTATCTTTATCTGGAAAGTCTCCTGTCCCAGAAGGATTTGATCCGAGGCTGTCAGGCAAGATAGTCTAAATTTTTCTCCCTGACAGAAGCCGTTGGCTGACAGAGAAACTCTTGGTGGTGACAACTAAATGATCTCTTCTTTATTAAACACCTCATGCTATCTTTCCATCTCTCCCTGACTACTGCACTTCCCACTCGCCTTTAGTATCTCATTTTATCATTTGACTGACTACTCTCCCTCTCCTTCCCTATTTCTCATTCCTCAGTCTCTCTCTCCTGTCTTGCTTTTCTCCGCAGCTCTTCTTGGATCCTCTTCTATTGCATCTTTATTGAATCGTTTCTATCTGCCCATTTCCCCCACCCCCTTTCTTCTAAAAGCTCCAGCTTAGGGAGGGAATATACTTCCCTCCCTAAGCTGGAGCTATCAGCCAGTCAGCAGCTTGTCAGCCTGTCAGGTTATTTGACAACCAACTAGTCAGTTATTGTGCAATTTTGTAAACACATTAATTAAGAATGTCTCATCCACAAAGCAAGAAAGTGATCCCAGCTGATCTCAGTCATTCAAGAATTATGTGCTGCTATTTTTCCAACCCCCACTTTATGTCTTTATCTTTTCTCTTCTTACCTGCTTCAGGTTGTGTCTCTTTTTCTATTTTGAGTACAAGTGGCCTGAGAATGGAGACTTGAGGTTCCTAACATGTGATCCTCGGTTGAATTAACAACTTACAGTCAAATGACACAATAAAGTTCTGTCCAAATAAACAATCAAGATTTTGTGATCAGCTATAACAAATGCAGCTCTCAACGTTGTGATGGTGTTTTGCTACAGAGAGGGGGTGTTGGAACTCTCAAAATAAATGGTATAATGAGAAAAAAACAAGTGGAGGACAGGAGTTTGAAAGAAGTTAAATAGTTGATCAAAATATGTAATATTAATATGAATATATAATTAATTTACTGTTTTGGTTGTTTTTTTTTTATAGATATGGGAAGATTGTATCAACAAAGGCCATCTTGGACAAAAACACTAACCAGTGCAAAGGTGAGTGAGAATCAGTTATTATTATATCTAGCCTCGAACATGCCTGAAAAACAGGAATGCTTATACTGGAATTGAGCCTGTATAAAAATCAATAAAAATGCAGTTCCTGTGGCAGCTTAAAGGCAAACTAATCAATGTGTTTTTCTGGGAAGGTATTTTTTCTTTCATTATTTCCTTCCGTTGCTCTTTTTGCATCTATAATCAATCAAGGCTTAAACATTGTTAGTAAAAGAAAATACTGTCTGTGTTTTTAGATTCAAGTTCTGTTCCAGGGAAAGTTAGAAATTTAATCCATTTACAGCAATCCGGATAGCCATAAAGTCTTTGTAAGCCACTAATCTGAACAATGAACTAAAAAATATATTACTTGATTAAAGCCAGAGTGGGTGATTTAAGGTCTGCTGCCTCATGATGTTAAGAGTTAAGCACTGTTTCAAAGGAGGATGTGGGTATTGTTGTAACAGGCCAAATCAAAATGAAGAACATATAATAGCCACAATGTGTTTTCAATAGTCAGTGAGGTTCACATAAGTGTCTTTTGAGAACTGTCTGCCTGATTGTTAAAGTGGTCCGAACAAAGCACTAATCAGAGTGATTGTTATCATCTGCTTTTGAAGAGACACACATATGCATGTTTTTCAGCATGATTATGGTTTATCTGCCAGGCTGTTCTCAGAAGTATATCAATCTGCTTTAGGACAACAACACAAATGTCCTATAATCAGAAAGTTGGTTTTCAGCTTCAGGATCTGAGGAAATGAGATCCTGTCAGTCCTTCTGATGGGATTTTTAAATTCTTGTAGTTTGGGGGGATTCCTATTTCCTAGAATCATCCTTACCCTTACCCCATTCCTTAATGTTTATTTTAGGTAATTTCTTTTTTTATTTATTTTATATTTCTTAATAAAAATTAGTCACTACTTTAAGATGATCGGCCACCAGCTTTTACTGCTATATGAACATACACGTGCATCTCCAAAAATCTAATTAACATTTAAGTTAGGTTATTTCTGAAATTAAGCTTAAAAAAAAAAAGAAACTTGTTCAATATAAATCTATTACGAAGTTTTACATTTCAAACTATTCATTTGCTAATTTGGATGTATATAATCAAGTCTTGGTTGGTTGTATTAATGAAACGTGGCATGGATTAGATCAGACTACAGCTATACTGATGTACTAAGGAAATCTGTTTTACTTTGATAACGTCCTTCTGATACCACATAGATTATCTGTGATACTCAGGTTCTGCATGTTTAATTTTTAAAAAGACTAAGGCAAACCATGTTAATTGCTGGTATTGCTGGTATTGGTAACTTTCGCACTTTACGCAGGTGTCAAGTCTTTGGGAATTTTGATTAGCATGTCCATTAAGCTTTTCAACAAAGCAAAGCATGTTGTAAACACTAATGTCTGGTAAAAAAAAAAAAAGAGAAAAAAAAATAGAATAGAAAAGAAAAAGAAAATGAATTCTGTACCTCTTTACTATCCCTCCAGATTCAAAAAACCTTGTTGTCAAAATGAGATACAAAATTAACTTTTTTTTCCTGAGGAGCACTTCAGGCCCCTTAGCAACGGCTGAGTATATCTTTTTTTCTGGCCAAAGTAAGATGCTTCTGTCCTTGTCATTGGTTCAGGAGGGGCTGAACCAGGGATTTTAAAAGCTGTCTCTTCCCACTTGAAACATCTCTGTTTTGTGGCGTTTGAAGCTTTTGTCCATGGCTTGTAAATCTAAGCCAGACTTTTGAATAGGCTTATCCCTATTTCCTAAACTCCTTTTTAAACCACTCACCTTTCCATTTTCGTGCTTTAATGCAGAGCTCTGTGAACAGCTACCTTGTTTAGCAATGTTGTTTTGTTTCCTTGTGTTGAAGTTTACTCGACAAATGTAAAGACAGCATCAATTCATGACTCACAAAAGGTAATGTGGGATTTAGTAATGATCTGCACATACCTTATGTTCCATACTATAGAGCGCACCTCACTATAAGTTGCACCCATTAAATAGAAATACAAAAAAGAAAGGAAATGTGCATACATAAGCCGCACCTTGCATCTACTGTATAGAACTGTCTCCCCCCAGACCCGTAGCGGGAGCTCTTCATGTAGCCCCTGGAGTAGAGACGAAGAAGAGCGCTAGCTCACGTTAACTCGAAGATGGGGCTTCATCAACTCTTTATTTCAGCTCTGCAGGAGTTGAGCCCAGTCTCTTCATTGGTTCTGCAGCTTTAATGCGGCAAATAAATGGAAAATTGTGTGAATTCTGAACATTTGTTCTTCGTCGTGCCTGCTGCTACCATGTTCTTGTGAAATAAAAATTAGCCCCATATTCTTTCACGTACAACTTTGACTTCCTCCTCTGGTAGTTGGGAAAAATCCACAGAAAAACTGCACCTTCTTATAAGCCGCTGGGTTCAAAGCATGGGAAACAAGTAGGGGCTTATAGTCCAGAAAATATGGTAATTAGGGTGTTTGGAGAGCCGTGATGATTTTAATTTTAACATTACAACCTTGACTTGGATTATAACATTAAAATCTTTGGTTTCATGAGACCATATGGTACCGTAAAACCAAAGAAATGGCAGAACATTTTATAAACCTACCAATGATTTTAAGTTACCTTTACTACTTGTTTCTCAGCTCATTACTTCTTTTCAAACTAACAGTTATACTTTAGAACCTTATATCTTTGACATTTATACTTACCAACTGTGTATTTCTTCTACCGGTACTTTCTTGAACGTATTTGTTTGTAATTATATTAAATCATATTGAGAAAAAATTGAACTAGTTTAAGTGTAAACTATATGTGATGAATGACATTTGTTTTTTTCTAATGGCAATATCACATGTTATGCTCATTACCAGCTTCAGTTGTTACTTAAAGGAACAAAAAAGTCACTTTACGTGTTTTTCTACTAACTATAGAACCGATTTTAGGGGAAAAAATAATACTACTCCTCTGACCTTTTCATACTTACATAAATGATTGTGAAGGACTTTTAATTGTCCTTTCACCTAATTAAGCTTCAGCTGAGCTTAAGCTGTCAGACACAAGGTCTCAAATTCAATTTAAGATTAATGAGGTACACAGTGCAGTTCACATTCAGCTCTGTGCCTGCAGGGTCCTCAGGATGTGATTGTGAAACAAGCCGAAATTTAAAACCCTCAAACTATTGTTCTTGATAGCTAGCTTAAATATTATGTTCTTTTGAAAATGCAGTGAAGCAAATCCTGGCCTCACTTATCCAGTTTGTTCTCATCTGTCCAGAGGACATTGTTCCAAACCTTTTGTCTTTTTTCTATTTATACTTACAAATACTGTAACTTTTTTTGTTCCAAAGCTTATAAACTGGCATTAAAACCTTTTTGTACAGTAATTTTTTTAAGCCTAAGTAAATTGTTTGGAATCCATCCATGTTGCTTTGCATTTTTTTTTTTCCCTGAGCATTTCATGGCTTGACCTCATGGGAAAGTAGAGATCCATTCCTGGGAAGACGGTGGACTGTTTTAAACCGTTTCCTCTTACAAGTCAGCCTTATCTTTGTTTCTGTCACAGTTTAAGTATTCAGAGAAAAAAAAAACTATTTGTTGTTCATGTTGTTCTTTAGGTATAACTTTCTTAAGTTTATTTCTTTATGCTAATTATTGTTATTGTTCTGCAACTGCAAAAATATTTTTGCATTAACAATGCAAAATAAAATAAACAAAGAACAACCTCATTGGCAGTATTAATAACATTTTTTGGGAGAGCAAAAATACTCATACCATTAGCAAATCATTTTTCCAACCTGCTTAAAGTATAAGCAAATCCACCTATGAAAATATTATTTATTTTACTTATGTATAGATTTACCTGCGTCAACTAATTTCTTTCACAGCTTGAACCTATCATTATTTTACTTTTTTTTTGTATTTTTACCTATTTTAGCTCTTAAGAATTCGGCTTGAACAGTATTTGCAAAATCTAGATTTGGTCAATAGAATTAGTTGTTTTAGGACCAGGAATCATTTTGGCACTGCACCCTGACTTTATTTTAGATACATGGTTTTAAATGAAAAAAGATCAAGATGCACTTTCTAATTATGTTTTTATGCGTCACTTCTTTAGAATCTAACATCTGTAGCAGAGGTTATATACACAAATTTTGCAGACTGTATTGCTCATAATCAGTTTCCCTATCCTGGTGCAGACTTTATACATCTCTTAGTCAGTTGTTAACTCACAATGAAGAAGTTTCATTATCAGTCGGCCATTAGAGTGCAGTACAACCGGATAAGTGTTGGTTTGATTGCAAAGGCATTCAGTGGGGACAAGATAATTGCTTAGCGTGACTAAGAGTGTACAAATTGGCTCAGAGTTCTCTTGGAAAAAAAAGGGATGGATGGTCGGATGTAGAAAGTGGCGGCAGGAGAGGGTAAAAATAACCTGGGGCTGACAGAAAAGGAAGGCGACCCTTTGAAACTGATGATTTAGCAGACAGCTTCATCTTTTCAGGAAGGTTGGTGAGAGGAAATAAAGGGTGTGCTTTGTTTGGTCGACACAGAGGTAATGAAATCAAGCCATCTGGCTTGGATGATCCATCCGGATGTTTGCTGCTGTCATTTAGAAACCTCTTGTAATCCTAATTTAATTAATCCATTATTTAATTTTTGAATAGGTATACTTATTATCGAAGCCTCTGTAATGTATTACTTGTGCTGAAAAAAAATAAAAACACCAGAATGACTAAAACGGTTTAACTATAAGAAACGAGAGTGATGTCTTAAAACAATGTGAAGATTTTTTTAGATAAAAAAAATGCAGGGTAAAGTTTTCCTTTTGATTTGCAGCAAGTTCACAATGACAGTTTTCTAGTTAGCAGTGCCGGAGCTTTGATGAAGCGAGTGGGCACAGAGCACAGGATGGAGGAAGGGAGGGAGAGGAAACCACTTTAGATTGTAAAGGATTTCCATTTCCCAAAGACAAGCAGCCTCCCTCTCCATGTCTCCTGCCCTCA